AGTCCATGTTACCTGCCCGTTTTTGTCCATGTTCCTGGCTTCTTGTAAGTTTGTTCTCGTCGTGCTCCCCGGTTTTGTTTATGTTAAGTAGTTTCTTGTTTTTCCTTTGTTACTTGACCTTTTTTAGTCCTCTTACTGCATTTGGGTCCTATTTTTCCCCAACCCTGACAGTACGAACAGACCAAGTATGGACAAAGCAGTCATTTTTGAGGATGCTCTTGATGAGCTTTCGTACAAGATGTTGTGTATTTTTGGAGTGTGGAGGAGGGCTCCTTGTAAAGAGGCTCAGGAGGCCACTCTTTCACAGGCACGCTGGGAAGTGGCAGATAAGCCCTGGCTGGGAAGCTCACTGCCAGAAATGTTGAGGACATTTGTGACTTCCCCAGACAGTATGCATACCTGCCTCAAACCCCTTGCCCCAGCAGCAAAGCTTTCGGCTAAGGCCCCAGCACCCAAGCGACTGGCCCGAGCCCAAGCAGCCTTGGTTCCAGCTCCAGTTCCGGCCCCAGCAGCCATGGTTCCGGCTCCAGCAGCCATGTTTCCGGTTCCAGTTTCGGCTTCAGTACTGGCTCTTCGGCCAACGCCAGCCCCCCGTGGTCATGTCGGCGTTCCGACCGACGCCAGTTCCCCGTGTCCTGTCGCTGTTCTGGCCTTCTCAAGTCCCTTCTCAAGTCCCTTCTCAAGTCCCTTCTCAAGTCCCTTCTCAAGTCCCTTCTCTAGTCCCCACTCAAGTCCCCTCTCAAGTCCCCTCTCAAGTTCCTTCTCTAGTCCCTTCTCAAGCCCTTCTCAAGCCCCTTCTCAAGCCCCTTCTCAAGTCCCTACTCTAGTCCCTCCTCAAGTCCCTTCTCAAGTCCGTACTTAAGTCCCTACTCTAGTCCCTTCTCAAGTCCCTTCTCGGGTCCCGTCTCAAATCCATTCTCAGTTCCCTTCTCAAGTCCCTTCTCAAGTCCCTTCTCTAGTCCCTTCTCAAGTCCCTTCTCAAGTCATTTCTTCATCGGGGGGCACACCGACTCATGTCCCAACTCCATGCTTTGTCCCGTTGGGGGTCCCGTCGACTGCTGTCCTGCCGGGGGTCCTGCCAACTCCATATCCTGTTACGTTGAGGGTCCAGCCGACACTTGTTTCGTGGGGGTCCCGCCGACTCCATGTACTGTTCCGTTGAGGGTCCAGCCAACACCTGTTTCGTCGGGGGTCCCGCTGTGGGTCCTGCCAACTGTTCCGTTGAGGGTCCAGCCGACACCTGTTTCGTCGGGGGTCCTCCCAACTCCATGTCCTGTTTCGTTGGGGGTTCCGCTCAGGGTCCTGCCAACTCCGTGTCCTGCCATCTCTGTGTCCTGCCATCTCTGTGTCCTGTCCTGTTGGAGGTCCCGTCGACACCTGTTCCACCGGGGTTCCTGCCAACAACAACCCTTGTCTTGTCGGGAACACTTGTCCCGGCAACACCGGTGACTATCCCGCCGACACCGTGTCCTTTTCCTTCTGGGATCCCACTGACACCAGCCGATTTTCCGTCCATGATCCCGTCTACGCCTGTCCCGCCGGCTCCGGTTCCTGTCCAGCCGACACCGGGTCCTGCCCGGCCCCCGGAGCTATCCCGCCTCTGTCCTGCCCGTCCTCCGGAGCTGTCCCGTCTGCGCCTTCCTGCCCGTCCTCCGGAGTTGTCCCGTCGCCGCCTTCTTGCCCGTCCTTGTGCCCGGCCTCCTGAGTTCCCAAGTGGCTTTCGCCCTCAAGCCCGGCCCCCTGACTTTCACTGCCGCGGCTTTCGCCCTCGAGCCCAGCCCATTGACTCTTCCAGCCGCTGCCTTCGCCCTCGTGACCAGCCCCCCTGAGTCCAAACCCGTCCTCCAGACCCCCTCCACCCACCCTTTTGGCCGTAGTTATGCAGCTTATGTTGATTTCTTGACATGACCCAAGACTTTTTCTCTAACTATAAGCAGGTAGTTTTACAGATCAGGTATGACACATTTGAATGAATCTCTGGAATGTGAACTGCAAAGCCACAACAGAAGAAATAAGTAATTTGAACACTTGTTCCACTTCTACATACGAGTTAACATTTATGAATGCATAAGCAGCAGAACAGATGACATTTCTCACAGGGGAGAACATGCAGGAAGAGAGTGGTGTCTCTGAGCTACACACAGATGGGAAGAAGGTAGTAAAGGGTAAATAGGACTCATACACTGGTTTTACATTCAGTTAAGAACTTGGTGATTTCTGCAGTGATCTAATCTTATGATATTGTGACCTCATTCTTGGTCATAGGCTGAAATAACTATTTCAATTTTTTTCTTCCAAAACAGTTATTGTGGAGCATGAGAAGTTCTAATATAGTACTTCATGCTTGAATCAAATTTGCATCATTAGCCTTTAAAACCAAATGCATTTTTTTCTTCTTTAAATTATTGGAAGCTTGCAACAACAAGAAAATTATGTTAAATTAATCTGCTTTTAGCATTTTCCTCCATTATTTTAAAGCACCTATCAGTGTCTTTTACGAGTTGAGGCTGGGTGGCCGCACACTATGCAGCGCCTCTGATTCATTCGTCTTGTTTAAAAGTATTCCTGGCCTGAGTGGAGGAGATGGCAGCATTTGGAAAAAATCTAAAACAAGCAGCAATAGCAATTCAAACTCTGTCACTTTACTCCCAACCCATCCTTCCCAGCAGCATCAATAAGAAGCTGCAAAGAGACAAACACAGGGCTGGCAAGCTAATCCAGGGATCACATTGTGAATCACAAATGCATGTCCCCCCGCCCCTCTCATATCCACAGCCAGACAGAAATAGCTGGCTTTGGCACTGCCATAATTTTGCCTCTCTCCTTCTGCGCTCCCTTTTCATTTCAAAGTCGGGGGGCTGAAGTTATTGCATGTGACACACTCAGGAGGAAAGGGCGGGGGAAGAGGGCCGGGTTGTATTGCATTACTCCACAAAGCCGAATGCCATGAGATGTATCTCTCGCTGCTTAATAACAGTGGAATTATTTAAAATAGAAGCAGCAGCGGTGGAATATTTCAAAATCTATATTTAGATTGGGAGTGATGCGCCTCACCCTCACAGCTCTTGTGGGATTCGCATGGGAGACATGGAAATGCATTAGGGTGGAGATCAATCTAGCCATGCAGAAAGATGCTCTTTTCCCATGAATAGGCTGAGATTTCTTTTTTTATCGACAACGTTCACAGTGACTATTTCAGCATAAAAGTAAAGAATCATCTCATAGGATTCAGAAAGTAAGATAACAAGTGAACTTCTCTTTGTACTACCTTTTTTCAAGCAATCTATTTTTAGCATTTCACTACACCTGCTGGATACATTTACTATTCATCCCTTCACTAACCAATAACCTGAGTCCCAGCTTGCTTTGGGTCTGCAAACTTCAAACATTATTACAGTACCTTCCAGGAGCTTGTCGCAGCAAATTGCATTGATTAGCTGGCTCTAAATCAGTTGCAAATTACATTTGCCCTGCATTGCTTGGCTAAGCATATAGCTGCACATGATTGCAACTAAATTGCAATTAGCCAATGCCCCAAGCACCCAAGAGGAAGACATAATGGTAGATTCATGTAAATCAATGGTATGTGGGTGTTGTACAGAGTCTGTTGGAATAATGAGGTGCTTCAGAGTTGGCAAACAATGTAACTGCTTTTTTTTATTTGACAAAATATAATGGATTGATTTTTACTTATGCAGTGTATAACCAGACAAAGCTATTATCTCTACATGCTTTATAACACTTTATATTCATGAGATTCTTGGTACACCAAAGAAAGAAAGTCTCAGTCTCACATAAGACAAATTCAGTCGTTCGACTAGAGACTTAATCTTTGGGTTTTATCCCAAGAAGTCACGGGGCCAAAAGAAACAACCAAAACCAATGCCAAGAGGGAACATCTCAGAATGCTACTTCTATTGATTTTGTGCTCTATAGTAAGACATCCACTATCTTTATTCAATACTTTGACACTTTCTTTGCTTATACTTTAACCTTTAAACATCCACTGTTCTGTCTGTATGCAAAACTTTAGAAGGCCGCCAGTATGGAACGTTTTATGAGTATAATCATGCAGTATTGAGCAACTCGATTATTGGCTTTACGCTCATTCTGTTCATTTTAAAGAGAATTCCATAGAAGATTGTCTGATGTTCAAAGTACTATGGTTGCAACCAACAATTATATCAGTTCATTGGACATTTTGCTTTCCAATTTTCCAAAGGCAAAAGTGAAATCGCTTCTAATATACAACAGCCAAAAACCCATAAATAAACCAAACAAAAGCATAAAATACACACATTTGACATTTTGCTTGGAAGATGACAGATTAATTATTTTTAGCTCTAAATATAGTCTGATTGTTTAAAATAGATGAATCACACATAAGGAAAATGGCTGTTTAAAGGTTAACAACTGTAAAGTCAGTCAATCAAAATCTAATAATAACTAATACATTTTCTTTTAAATTGACCAGTTTGATGGAGACAAATTGAAAAATATGTCTTAGATCAAAACTGGGGCTTCAATTCTTAAGGTTAAATAAAATGTATTTGAGTTTATTCTGTATAATGGTCTAAATGAGCGCAGTCTGTATGAAGCAGCACAGCTTGGCTGGTCAACATGCTGTTGTTCATTGGCCCGCTCTGTGTACAGTCAGCAGGAGGTCACCAACAAGCCCTGGGATGTTTGTCTCTGACAGTGTTTATCATACCTAGGCTGTGAAAACCATGCTTATCGCAGCTCCATGTGGCTGTCGAAAAAACTAAACATGTATGATTTATGGAGTGAGGTTTGTGCTATCCGACACGGAAAACAGTTCTGCTCTGTGCCACTGCCTGAGAAATGAAACTATGTTCAGTTTTTGAGGAATGAGCGACAGCGCAAACTGAAGGTCAAACTGAATGTCAAGCTTCAGTCAAGAAGAACATTTAATTTTCAGCTCAAAGGAGCATGGCATGAGGTTTATCAGAAAACATGTCAGGAATCGAGCACGGGCTTACCGGAAAGTAGAGAAGCAGAGTTCCACACAGAATGGCCTCCAGTAGGACTAGACCTGATGCTCTGATACTCTGCGAAAAAAGAAATTACACCAATCATTAACCACACTAACTGACTTTTGGCCACTTAGGTATGGGGCAACAACCTGTCAATACAATGTTGTAGTACTATTTCCTTACTATGTACTGTTACTGTGTTAAAACTGTGTATTATTTAGCCTGCCAGCATACTGTACATAGAGCAACATTTACATTTCAGGATAAATACTCTTCAGTAGTCACAGGGATTAATAACCTTTGGCTCCAATTGATTTTGTTTGGAATTTGACACTGAGAGTGACACTAATTTCGTCCCTTTTCTGGTTTGATGCTATGTGAAGCGTGGTGAAGTTAATACATAATAAATGGAACCAGCAGCGATTTAGTTAATTGGTTGATGAATCTACATCAAAACATGCAATTATTAGAATCTTTGCTCAAAGACACCTTGTCAGCAAACATCACATTTACCTCTTGAAAAGCCTATTCAAAATACATCTAAAAACATGTTTACAGCACATCTAAAGGGCAATAGTATGGTTTTTTAGCCTCAGTGCCTTATTGTTTTGCACTCTCTATTAGTATCATTGTATCTTTTCTTGACTTAGAGCATTTCTGTAGGACATTAGGTAATGATAAAACCAATTAATTTAGACTCAACAGAAACAAAATAAAACAAATCCAAACAATCTTGGTTAGTCTTTCCGTTTTTCACAATTTGATAGTTTTAAACAGCTCATTACTGGAGGAGACAACACCAATAGGAGTCAACATTCAACTGAGAATCAATACATTAAAGCAACCGAGACAACAAGCTAAAAGAGGCTAAAATGCAACAGAGGCAGGTTTGTTTTGTCCAAAATCTTTACATTTTTACACATGAATGTTTTCCCCTTTTTTACAAAATGTACATAGGGGAGTTTGTAGTATAGCTCTTAAAATGCCCTTCATATTGCAGCAGGTCTAAATAAGTCTTTGACAGCGGCGTATCTTTATATTCCAGGATTTCAAATGGGAAGGGAGCTTTGTTGTTTGAAAGAGAACAAAGAACAATGAAAGCCTGTGCCTCAAGGACTTTTTATATGAGGGGTCAACATTTTAAGGCTCCTTCTTTGCTCCAATTGAAAAATATATTTAACAGAAATATCACCCTCTAACTGACAAAATGCTTAATTATTTTAAGAATAAATAAACTCAGGCCACATCTATGAACCAGACGAATGTAAGATCTTTTTAAAGTTATATTCAAATCTGCAACCCAAATGAACTCATTTGTTTATGGAAATGAACCAATTAGATTTTATCGCAAAGTTAAATAATCTCTTGTATTTAGCTTGATAAGATGATTGGGTTATTACACAAGTGGTGTTTAAATGATATGAAACCCCAGGGTGACTTTTATCTTATTTAAACACGGAAGCAATCCTTTGTTGAACTCTGCGTGATAATGGCAGTCTTCAGGAATGTGGAATGTGGTGAATCTTCAGGCTAATCCTTACATGTCTAATGCTCAAGACAAAGCCTTTAATTAAGCCAATTAATTGACGGTAACATCTCTAGAGCCTCAGAGGATTTTATAAGTTTGTTCAAAAGTTTACTTAGTAGAAAGTTAATGAATCGCTACTATCACCGACTTTCGGGTAAGTTGAGCTCATCAGACTATAAAACAGGACATTATCCAGCATGATAATGATACATTCAGAAGTATAATTTCATTCTGTTTAGTGCTATTTGTTACATTTGTATTTGCAGTGATGAAGTTTTTGCATTTTCAGTAGAAACTGAAACAATCTGTTGGGAAACTGACGTTTACACCAAGAAAGATAACTATAACACAAACATTCTAAATTTAGAGACTTGATACTTTGCTTTCATGAATATTTAGCTGACTTGTGAAGTGGTTTCACCTTTCGATGTGGGAAAGGCCTCACCTCTAAATTTGATTAAGAGAATATATTATTTCTGAATAAATTAGAAGACATTGACACCGTCAGCAAACCTGTGAACTAAATCAACATTTCTCACTGCCACATTCCACAAAAAAGATAGATTTTAGGACAAAATAATGAAGTACTAGTGATTATTTCAGCTCAGGAAAGTGATATGCCAACATCTTATTAGTATAACTGTGAAGCATGAAGCGGTCAGTGGCCCTATGTATGAATCAAATTAGCTTAAGTGGATGCATTTGCACACACTGGTCTCTTTCCAAGTTGCTGACGTCCACAGTGCCCGAGCTGTTTGAAATAATTTCAAAGCTATATTTTGACCACTCACATACGGATTTACTGGTTTATTGATCCAAGTGGCTTTGATGACCATGGCACAGAAAACATCAAACGCACAACTGTCATGATTTTGTTATTGTGATTTGAATCTGTGTCTTTTTTTGCACTGATGAGTTTTAAAACTTTCACTTTTTATGATGACAGTACAAATTCCCTGAAACAATTGGCGGCAACCTCTGTCAAAAAATATTAATATGGAGGCCCGTTTGTGCCACAGAAAAGACAAAAAAAATCCTATTTATGATAAATAATGAGATAGTAAGTCCTAATAATGAAATAGTAAGTCCTAATAATGAGATAGTTAGTCCTAATAATGAGATAGTAAATGATAATAGTGAGATAGTAAGTCATAATTATGACCTACATGATACATTTTTTTACTTTTCTGTGGCGCAAATGTATGGAAGTCATAATAATGAGATAGTAAGTCCTAATAATGAGATAGTAAATGATAATAGTGAGATAGTAAGGCATAATTAGGACTTAAAGGATACATTTTCTTCTTTTCTGTGGCGGGATTCCATACATTAGTAATAATGGAATAATAACAAAAAAAAAAGCTTAAGCCTCTCTGTAGCAATGGTAGTTTAGTCCCTGTAACAATATCTCACTCAATATCTCAATCTCAATATCTCACTCACAAACTATGTCAGCTTTAATATAATAAATGACAGACTCTGTAAGAGGATGATGTTGTGAGCGTGTAATGATGCATACCTTGTTCCTGCGAAAGTGGTAGACGAGTATCATGCTGATGAAGACTATGAGCATGCAGAGGCACTGGAAGGAGAGCATGGCCAGGCGGAGGGGGCCGTCCTCTCGGGCCACGCAGGGGGTGTCGTCCTTGCAGAATGCGCAGCCCTGCTGGCATGGCAGACAGTCGCTGGAAGACCCCCTCGTCTGCATTGGGACCGCTCTCTGCAGCTTTTCCCTTTCGTCCCATCCCTGTTAAAAAATAAGATGGGAGTTTAATCACTAAATATTCATAAAAGCTTTAACCCAGACCTGTCATTGTCATTGATCAAGCTTATTCACCTTAGGTAGATATCCTTTTTTGTGTGCTCCAATACAGCGATTTTTAGCTAGGGCTACATGTACCAAGGAGATCATTTGAATATATATATATGTATTAATGTAAAACCTGGCAAACAGGTGTTTAGCTTGAGAATGTGTAAACTGGTTAGAAAGTGTGGAGTGAGGTGAGCCATAAGGAAAAGAAGAAATGTTGAAGTTACATAGCTACAAGTTACTGATGAATTAAAACAGTTGTTTGACACAGGCTTTAAATAGATAGCGCCAAGTAATGGATAAAAGCTTCAAAAAGCTTTTGAATTCATTGTTCATTTGACACAAAAAGCAACGAGCAAACGGTTCAATGGTTACAAATAGTACAGTTGTTGCAAAAACAATGATTGGATCATTTGTTTTTATGCTCAGCTTCACGTTATGTTTAAATAAAATAGGCCAAAATGTTAAACGGGAATGTAATTAAATACTGTATGTGCGTGCGTGAGGACAGAATCATGAGTGTTATACTTGACCATAAAAATATGTTTTGAAGCATTAAATAGACCTTTCTTATGTTTCCATGTTATTGAATTTTCTACTGGATATGATACCAGTATTAATAGATAAAGGAGATGAAGTGCTTCGATGACAGGCTGTAGCGTTTTGAGTTTATATGTGCTTATCCCTCTCTGACCTTACAAGGATTCATCGACATTGTGTCAACACAAGGGAGATGGATCTATATGTGTGAACATGAAAAGTCAACACTGCAGCACGTAGTTCCGTCACTGGCATATCATACAAGGCTGATAACTGCAGTTTCTTCGTAAAAATCACACAGAGACATGCCAGAACATAGTCATTTTTATCCTGACAAGGACATGGACGATGGGGAGTCTGACGACGGGGGGATTGGATAAACGAATAAAAAGCACAAGATCTGGGTGGGTAAAAAATTCAGGAATCTCAACTGAGGTTAAGGTATAAAACCAGCCATTTAAACCACTTACTGCTTCCTCCTAAAAGAGCTGCTGTGGTGCCAAACGTGGTCAAGTAAAAAAACCTCCTTCCAGGGTAAGCTAAGGTAACAACCAAACAGGGACAACAAAATGCTAGTGGACATCTTATTGGTTTGCTTTGAAATCCCCTGAAAGACACCCATGTGGTTGGATAGATAACGAATGGTGGCCTTAAATAGAGCTTTTATGGAGGCTTTATTGGAAACAGCCATTGTCTCAGAGATTTGCAGGGATTTTGCCTTTAAAAAGAAACTGGCCTATTTTTCAAAACTATGACTCTGCAAATCATTGATCCCTTCAAAAGGACTACTTATCTCCGTAGCAATGAGTCATATCCTTCAGCTTTTTCTCATTGGGTTGTTGCCCCTGTAGTTGAGTGACAGTCAAACAAAACTCCAGCAAATCCTCACTTATATATATATATTTATATGCAATATACACAATGGAAGATCACTGAGAGACAAAGGGAAGAGGGTTGGCTCTCTCTGCAAAGGAGTGTCAAGGATGTCCCCTTGTGGATTAACAGGCTTGTTATTGGCCCCATGGTGGGCCAGACTGCAGCACTACGCCTCGCTAACAGGCTTGCCTCTCCTCTCTGTTATTGTGTTCTCACACACACACCACACACACACACACACACACAACACACACACACACACACACACACACACACCACACACACAACACACACACACAACACACACACACACACACACTCACACACACACACACTACACACACACACACCACACACACACACACACACACTACACACCACACACACACACACCACACACACACACACACACACACACACACACAGAGCTTTCATGCAGACATGCACACATGAGCACAAACAGGCAGGAGCACACAGCACAGAATTCCATCTTCGGAGATCATTTTTTGCCTTTCTGTGCATGAAGGGACTATATTTTAGGGTGTAAAATTGGTGCAATAGGATGGTGAGGGAGGGAGGGAAATGAGTGGGGAAAAGGGTAAAATTGAGATAGAAACAGAGGGCCGTGCTGTATGAGGTTCGAGTGGGATGAGACAGGAGGGAAAGTGGATCGAAATGAAAATGTGAGAGTGATGGAGGGCAGGTGGAAATCACTGGGGTTCTGTGTCTGCAAAGCCTTTTTTTAATTAACTCACAGCAGACAGAATAAACTGGAGAAACTAACTACCATTAAAAAGATATTTCCCATCTTGAACCTGATTAGCCTCCACAGGTACTGAGGCTACTTCAATTTTCAGAGAGGGCAGTAACACATGCCCCTTTCATTAACATGCTTATAAAAAGTTATATAATGTAAGAGCAGGGTGTTTTTTTTTGCTTACAGCTGCTGCCCAAGATACTTATATACAACCTTGAAGCACATGCAAACTCATAAAATTAGCTCATCTGCTGCAGTATATGTGTTCTAAATGAGAATAAAAAGGTTGACATGAAACGATCGGTCTCTTCGAAAACAGCCTGCTTTGTTGTTTGAAACCTGTGATGGCAGAAACCTTAAAATAAATGAGATTTCATAAAATAAAACCCTCATAAATGTGTACATGCATTTCCCATACAAACCAACATTTATGATTGCATGTCTCAGCTTTGCATGTCAAAATTAATACCTATTATTTCATGACTTCCTAGTGCATTAATGGTTTTGTTTAATCTTAGTTGACCTTAGTTTTCACTTTCATTCACAGTATGTGTATGACTTTCTGAAGAACAAGTGTTATTTCTCAAACAGTTACAATATCTAAACCTTAAACACCCCCAAAATCCAAGTAAAGCTTATTTATGATTTAAATCAGGGGTGGGGAACCTCCGGGCCCGAGACCATTTGGTACGGCCCTCGAGGTAATTTATAAACACACGCAAAAAAGAAAAAAAAAAATATAGTTCTCATTCATAACACTCCGTTCGATGTCTCACTATGGGAAATTGTAGCTCCCGTATTGTCAGACGAGCTTATCTCGAAAATCACCAAACCAACAAGAACTTAACAGGTAGAGCTCTGACTCAACCAGGTGCCCAGCACTGCTCGAGTCACACTGGGAGCAGAACGTCCAGCCTGTTAAGAGGCGGACAAAAGTGAGCGGCGAGGACCAGCTCGCCGCTGCACCAATGTCTTGGATGGGAGACATCCTGGACAGAGCCCAGGATGCAGCCAAACCCTGAGTCGAAAGAGCTCGCGGACCCGAGGGTGCCTGCGAACTCTGACTCGTATGGGCCCCAAAGCAATTGCTTCCACAAACCAGTGGGAGAGCCGTTGCTTAGTAACAGGCTTGCCCTTATAAGGGTTAGCCCAGGACACAAGGGGTTGGTCATTATGACGAAGCACCCTTGATCTGTCCCTGTACGTGCGTAAAGCACGGCTGGACACGGCAAATCCGGCCGCTGTTCCCCGGAGGAATACAGTGGCGGGGAGGATGCCTCAATGTCAAATGTGGTACCTGAACCAACCGCCTTAAGATAAAGGCAGGGTTGGGCTTCAACCACACTCTGTTTGCCCTGGGGCGAACTGAGTGCATGAAGACTGTACAGATAGCGCATGAGTGCCACTGGCTCGCTTGGTAGCTGCCAGGGTCAGCTTCATGTCACACTGTATTCAGATTGTACCACTCACGGGCCAGGCCCATAGAGCCAAGCGCTCTGGGTGTGGGTGAAAGATCGCCCCCCCCCGCTTGGGACAGTATGTCCCTGCGTAGTGGGAGCTGCCATGGCTGCCCGCACAGCAGCTGATATATCTCCGCTAGCCAGTACATAGCTGGCCAGTGTAGAGCTATCAGGATAAGTGTGTGGCGTTGCTCTCTCACTCTGGCCAGAGTTGGGGGTATCAGAGCCAGGGGTGGGAACGCGTACAGAAGGCCCGGGGGCCAATCGTGCGCGAGTGCATCCACGCCTAACAGTGCATTTAGATCGCGCATCGAAAAGAACAGCTGACACTGAGCGTTGTCTTTCGATGCGAACAGATCCACCGCGGCTCTGCCGTAACGCACCCACAGCTGGCTCACAATCCTTGGATGTAGAGTCCAGTCTGCATAAAGTGGTATACCTCTGGACAGTAGATCTGCCCCGAGGTTCATCACTCCCGGTACGTGCGTCGCTCTCAGAGAGAGGAGACGTCTACCGCTCCATAGGATCAGTTTGCGCGCCAGTGTGTGTAACTGGAGAGAACGCAAACCCCCTTGGCGGTTAATATACGATATTGTGGTCGTATTGTCTGTCCTCACGAGGACGTGATGTCCCCTGAGGAAAGGCAGAAAGCGTTTTAGGGTGAGAAACACCGCTAAAAGCTCCAGGTAATTTATGTTCTCCAGAGACCCCTCACCGGGCGACCTTCATAAATACCTCCCCAACTGTCAGACATGCGTCCGTGGTGACCACTTTCCGTGAAAGGACAGCACCCATAGGCACACCTCGTACTAGAAAAGTCGGGTGCAGCCAGTGGCGCAGTGCCATTACGCATTTCACAGTAACCATCACTCTCCGCGCGCCATGGCGCGCAGGGTTTAGTTTTAGGGGCGGCCACCCAGCGCTGAAACTCCCTCATGTGTAAGCGTCCCAGTCGTACGACCAGGATGGCTGACGCCATGAGCCACAGCAATCGCAGGCATGATCTGAAGAGAACATGTTTGCGCAGCTGGAAAAGAGCGAGACAAGCTCTGAAAGCTTTCACTCTTTCCGCTGACAAGCGAGCTGAAAAGGGCACCGAGTTCAGGCGTAAACCCAGGAAGAGTATAGTCTGCGCGGGGCACAACATGCTCTTCTCTGTGTTTATTATGAAACCCAGGTTGAGCAGGTGCTTTACGAGGACATTTGTCTGCGTAACAGCCTCCGACTGTGCGAGAAGCAGCCAGTCGTCCAGGTAGGTCGCCAGGCGAATACCCTGTTGTCTTAACAGGGCTATCGCGGCTTCCGTACGTCGGGGGGTAGTACTAGAAGGGGAGTACTCTGTATTCATAACAGATCCCCTGAAATGCGAATCTCAGATATTTCCTGTGTGGGTAATATACTGGGATGTGAAAATACGCATCTTTCAGGTCGACTGATGTAAACCAGTCGTCTTGTCGAACGAGCCGCAGCAGAGATGTGTGAGTGAGCATTCTGAACTTATATCTTTTTAGATATTTGTTCAGAGCCCTCAAATCAAGTATTGGCCGAATTCCGTTCCCTCCCCGTTTGGGAACGAGGAAGTACTTGGAATAGAAGCCGCCCTGACTCTGCTCGGCGGGTACAATAGATATAGCCCTCTTTTCTAGGAGTGAGAGAATCTCTCTCTCCAGAATATGGGCTGACTCTCCTCGGGCCTGCGAATGCAGAATGCCCGAGAAGCGAGGGGGGGTGACGGTGACTTGGAGTCTGTAGCTCTGTGTAACTGTCTTGAGAAACCCAAGCAGATGGCGTGATCATCTCCCGCTGTATGCTCCTTAGAGCCAGCTGAGATAATAATAATAATGCATTACATTTTTTATTAGAGCACTTTTACAGGTGCTCAAAGCGCTTTACAATTACACATTACACATATTAGACATGTAAGAGTCATTACTGCAGACATTACGATGTCACGTCTCTTCCCCTCTGAGTCTCTATTTGTTGTGTTATGGGGCCCTCCAGTGTCTGAGCACTGTGGTGCCCCATTTCGACAATCCCCACCGACACAGCGCATGCGTGTGGCGGTGGTGCCCTTACGGCTCCAGCCGGCACTGCGCATGCGCGTGACGGTGGTGCCTTCACAACCCCAGCCGGCACTGCGCATGCGCCTGACGGTGGTGCCTTTACAGCCCCAGCCGGCACTGCGCATGCGCGTGACGGTGGTGCCTTCACGACCCCAGCCGGCACTGCGCATGCGCGTGACGGTGGTGCCTTCACGACCCCAGCCGGCACTGCGCATGCGCGTGACGGTGGTGCCTTTACAGCTCCAGCCGGCACTGCGCATGTGCGTGACGGTGGTGCCTTCACGACCCCAGCCGGCACTGCGCGTGACGGTGGTGCCTTTACAGCCCCAGCCGGCACTGCGCATGCACGTGACGGTGGTGCCTTCACAGACCCGTCAATTGTCCGCCCTTTGAGAGAGGCCGTAGCTGCTCTCAGAAGGGGAACAGTTGACGGACTGTTTATTGTTTTTATTGTTTTTCTTTTAATTTTTTCGAGCTGCGCCCTTGGCTCGAAGCCTGGATGTGTCAGCGGAAAATGTTTTATGACAGAAAAATCAATAAGTGTGTGACATGTGTTTATGCGGACTTGAGGATGGTGTTGAGGCATCTCTCGAGGCGGCGGGAACACATTTAGAGCTGGGGAACCGTAGACTTCCAGCTCTGTCACAGAGGGGATAAGGAGGGGCTGTCACGCCGCTCGCTTCTTCTTCCTCGACTGCTGGCCGAAATTCTGGGTTGGCTGCGCCTGGGCTGCAGCCGGAACTGGAGATTTTCTAGGCCAGCTCGCCCTCGTCCCCTGCCTGGGCTGGGGACTCGGGGCGGACTGCGACCTCTGCGTTTTCGGTATTTTGAACCGAGCAGGGTTCGGGGCAGCTTGGACGAAGGGCTGCCGCTGCGAAGGCAGCGGCTGGGCCCTTCGAGGGAGGCAGAGGTGGAGGGCCTCGTCCTCCTTCTTTTTCGACTCGCATCTCCTCTGCATGGAGGCAAGAGCGGAGCCGAAAATCGCCTCGGGAACGATGGGCATGTCAAGCACATCCTCCTTTTCCCGGTCTGGGAGGTTGGTGAGGTTGAGCCATCTAGCTCTTTCCTGCACCACCATGATACCCATTGTTTTGCCCGTGGCCTGGACGGCGCAGCGTTGGACACGGAGACAAATGTCTGTGACCAACTCGTCCAGAACGGCCGGTCCAGGATTACTCGACATATCCTCACAGAGCTCCGCTTGGTATGCGGTTAGCAGTGAGGAAACGTTCAGAGCCCTGGCGGACAACGCTGCGGCTCTGTAGGACCGTTCAGTCATGGTCGACTGGAAACGGTCCACCTTCGCTGGCAGCGTGGGGTTCCTGCTTGGTGACGGGCCCATCCTCGGTAGGAGGTGGGCTGCCACCAGCAGTTCCATCGGCGGTATGCGGAGCAGGCCGAGCCTCTCCATACCGTCGCAGTCTAGGGAGGAGGCACCCTGGATTGGGGCCTTGTTGCTAAAGGGTCGGTCCCTCCACGAGACCGACACCTCATCCAACATCTCCGGGAAGACCGGGAGGAGTTGCCTCCTTGTCCTCGTTGCTTGGGGATAATCTTTCCCCTCATAACCAGAACTGGCGGTCTCCTTGGCCATTTCGGACCACGGGATGTCTAGCCTGGACGCAGTGCGCTGACACGCGGCCTGCAGGTCTATGCTCAGACAGGGCGAAGCTGGTGTGCTATCGCCCGGGAGAGCAGCCATCGCTCCCGGCTTTGCCGTTTGAGCCGATGACATGAAGATATCTTTTTCTTGCTGATCCGAATCAGACAGGAGGAACTCAGAGGTGTCCTCTTCGTCCTCCATGTAGTCTAATTCCAGGACATCCTCCGCGGGCGAGACCATGGTGAGGTCTCGCCGGGAGCTCCCGCCTGGTGAGGCGTGGGGCTCCGTTCCCGCGTCTCTTGCCGCCACCGGGTCCCGGCCTGACACGGCGTGGGATCCCGGTTCCGCAGCTGCCGCTGTTAGTGAGCCCCAGACCGACACAGTGAGGAGCTCAGTCTCTGCGGCGGACGCCCCCGTGTCTTGATTGCCAAACGGCGAATCAGTGGACATGAGGGAGTCCTGTTCCAACAAGCTAGCTTGGTGTGCTAGCCGTCTGTGGAGGCTCTTTCGGGTGAAACGGGCACAATGCCCGCACGAGCCGGGGTTGTCGATAGCCTCCTGGGCGTGTTCCAGACCTGGTGTGAGTCTGTGCCTGCTATCTTCAACCCGCAGCCGCATGACCGAGCTTCCGAGTCCCTGACTCCTCTGGTGTGAGGGGGAGAGGCGTCCATCCAGTTCGCCTCGTGGCGTGGAGAGGACCCGCTCGTAACAGGTACGTCGTTGAGAGAAAAAGTGTTACCAACCCGTCCTTAATCCGGAGAAAAAGGGATGGTGTGGGTCCTTTGTTCTCAAAGAATATTGACTGGTGTGTCAATATACTTCTAATCCTTTTCTCCTCCGTGAGAGAGAAAAAGAAAAGCGTCCTCGCTACCGTGGTGTCGGTAGTAAGGGGAAGCTAGCTAGCAACAGGTGCGTAGCTAGCTTGAGGAAAATCAAAACCTTACCTTACTTTCCGGGGAAAGAAACGGCGAGGTCGATTTTAATACTAACTGCCGTTAGTATTACCGTCTTCTTGCGAAGCAGAAGGAGTAGCCGGCGAGTGCCCGTCGACCGAAATAGTTATATTTGGGTTCAGTCTGTGGACCGTTAAGCTTGTCCGGCTACTATAGAGATGTGCTCTGAAGCGAGAAGAGGTGTTTGAATGACGCATGCGTCGTGGCGCAAGCTACTTATAGGGGGTGAATTCCCTGACGCTGACGTCAAGATCACCAGCCAATCAGGATTGGCGTAATGAGATTGATGCTTCTGTTTGCTCCGCAATGAGGCGCATCCCATAGTGAGACATCGAACGGAGTGTTATGAATGAGAACTTTTTTGTTATTAGCATCTGGTTAGCTAGCTATGCTAACGAATATAAGAAGCTTTTTCTCCAACCAGTCATAAAAGGTATATAGTTATAAAAAAACAAGAGAATAAAGTAAACAGGTATAAAATACTATATGACAGTAAAAAAAAGTTGTTATTAATAAACAAGAATACAGATTGAAAGGGGAGTGATTTGTAAAATATCCATAAAGAAAAAGAAAATCTGCTTAGAGTTCTGTTTCATATGGAGGTTGAGAGATGTATCCAGATCTCCTAATTTGTCTCTCAAAGTGCACCAGATTGATGCTTTTAACGACAACATTTTAGGTCCCCCCCCCCCCCACTTAAATCATGTCTACATGGATAGGAAACTAAATACATTACATTACATTACATTACATTACATTACATTACATTGCATTTAGCTGACGCTTTTATCCAAAGCGACTTACAATAAGTACATTCGACCAGGAAGACACAACCTTGAAGAAAACAGAATCATATAAGTACATCAGGTTTCATAGAGCCAAACATTTCAAGTGCTACTCAACTGGCTTTAGGTAAGCCAGTCCTTTATTAGTATAAAAGTGCTTCGTTAATAGTTCTAACGCTCGAAGTGGAGTCGAAAGAGATGAGTTTTCAGTTTGCGCTGGAAGATGTGCAAGCTATCTGCCGTCCTGATGTCAATGGGGAGCTCATTCCACCATCTTGGAGCCAGGACAGCAAACCCACGTGTTTTCGCCGATGGGAACTTGGGTCCCCCTCGCAGCGAGGGCGCAACGAGTCGTTTGGCAGATGCAGAGCGTAGTGCACGCGCTGGGGTGTACGGTTTAACCATGGATGTAGGAAGGGCCAGATCCATTCGCAGCATGGTAAGCAAGTACAAAATACATTTGCACACATCTTGTCCAATATCTTTCTGTTTTGGTGGTCATGCCACAACCATGCACGTAGCATTTTTAAGCAGAGGTCAATCATTTGTATGGCCCTCGGAGGATGTTGAAAAAATGTAAATGGCCCTTGAGAGGTAAAAGGTTCCCCACCCCTGATTTAAATAGTGGAAACACATTAAAATAAAGGGTTAAACTGTCTGTACTGTTACTGTGGTATCATTACTGTGAAAGAGATTTATAAAATGTTTCTCATTGAAAACAGTTGCAAAAAAGCTGAAAATGTAAAGTGTTTTGTCAAATGAAATTGATTGGAAAAGGGTGAATGATCTGTCAGTGACTTACGTGTAAAGCCGTTGACAGCCACTCTGTTGGGATGGAAGAATCCTTTCTTGCACTGGCACGTGTACTTGTCCAAGACAAATCCATGACCATGGTGAGGCAAACACTGCAAAGAGACAAGAACATATACATCAGCAACACAGAGAGGACATTGGAGGCAATCTTTGCTTTTATTTCCTTGATAATAAATAAGTTTGTTTAAAGAATTTTAAACAAAACATCTTGTAAAGCGGACTGAATAAACACCAGTATAAAAGCAATTAAAAATGTCAATATTAAACCAAAAGTAAAGTCTGGAACGTGGGATCAAACGTCTTGTGGGAAGGACAAGGGTCTAATTATTTAAGTGGTGAGATTCCTCTCTCTGTCTAATCGTGCCTTCTCCACACTTAATATTAAATTAGTAAAGCCGCTTCCATTTGATTGAAAGTCTGATAGGAAACAGACTGAGGGCTGCTGAGAAAAACACAAGGGGTGTCAGGGGGCATCCTTGGCAGACTTATGTGCCGTTTGCCAAATTACAAGATATAATTAATATCTTAATTAGGAACATACTTATTTGCATGATTTTAAAGGCAAGGCAAGTTTATTTATATAGCACTTTTCAACACAAGGCAATTCAAAGTGCTTTACAAAAAATGAAAGACATTAAGAAAATGGCATTTAAAATCAGTCATTAAAAAGAAAAGCTAATAAAATAAACATTAAAAGAATGGAGAACTATTAATTATATTTCTTGTTGAAATGAGATTCCATCTTCTCTTGTATGGACACATTTGGGTCATTGCATAAAGCTCAATGTTGTTTTTTCTTGCTCTTGCTCTCTCCCTTAAAAACGACATAACAGCCAGAGATGATAATGACTTATGAGTCACAAGAAAAGACGAGGGGCCCAGAATAGCAACGGTACTTCTGCCGAAACTTGACACGCTATGAAGTGCTTGTGACCTGACTGTGAGAGGCAGGGCCAGTGGCAGGATCTGGAAGTCTTTAGAGGAAACTATTTCTGACTGTCTCTCAAGGACCTGAGAGTGTAGTCCCCCCAGTTAAAGCCTTGGGGGGGCCGGCCAGGGCTCAGAAGCACAAAGTAATTAACAGGTTACAATTCAGCAAACGTGGTCCTTCAACAGATTCCACTGAAGAGCACAACGCATTTAAAGTGGCACTACATTCATTTGTTGAACACGGCTACTCATTGCAGTGGTGACAGTTTGAAATGGGTCCTTGTGTTCTTAACATCGTAAACCTGTAAATTAATTTGCCACTGCACATTCACCATCTCCAAATGTGTATTACACCAGCAGCAAGACTTTGGGAAAAAACATTTTGGTTTCTTTTAAGCTACCCTTTCAACACATTGACAATGACAATTGGGCAACAGACAATGGAGTATTATTAGGCAGTTTAACATGCATATATTCCCCCAGGTAATGGTGGTGATTGAAACTGAGTAAAACATGGACTTACATTCTAGAAACATGACTTCAAATGAATGCTAAAGTGGCTAACTGTTTTCTGATTGTGGAAATAGGTAAACGTTTATCACATAAACTGTGTATGAAGATAATACTGTATGTCAATGATGCGTTTGCTCCTTTTTTCCTGTACTCTATAGATTAAAACCATCAATAATCTAATATATGTTCAAGCTGTAAATAGCTGGTGAACAATCCAAACTTATGTTTAGTACGTTTTAGTGTGTGCCTAAACAGCTTCGACATGTTAACCTACGCGGCCAGTCAATATTAGAAGGTAACTATGATATTGGTAAACCAGCCTCTCTGTGAACAACATTGGATACTTGCAAGATGAATGGGCCACCATATTTGTCATTTTGATTCAGGCTGTTGATCTGTGAATCCGTTCATAAAAATCTGCCTGGCACAGTTTTAGATGAGTCCTGTGGGGCAACGTGACTTCATCTCTGATTGGCCAACAGTCGTCTCCTCAGGACAGGTGGAGCGTGCTGCAGCTACTGCCTGCCACTGTGAATATGCCCACCCAGACACTTGGAGAAAAAGCCAGAGACAGGTGGGTGTGTATGCTTATTTTTTCATGTATGTGACAGGGAGAGCCAGGAATAGCCATGGCAGTGCATCCCTTCTGCCTGCAGCGGTGATTGATGTGGAGAGTGTTGAACGGGGGGGAACCTGCCTCCCAGCAGCCTGCCATAAGTCACATGTGTACAAACTGTACAAACTGTGAAGTCCACTGAGACAAATGTAACATTTGTAATATTGGGCTATATAAATAAACATTGATTGATTGATTGATGTGATGGGAGTGGTCCGGCCAGAAGCCAGAAGGGCCATGAAACGCAGCTTTTGGCCCAGATGTGTAAAAGGTCTCTAAACAGGGAGGAGGAGCTGAGTAGACCCCTAGGGCAAAGTTATATTTTATCATGTATTTATTTTGCAAGATCTGAAATTTGAAAAAATAACATATACATCTGTTACAAGGCAACATACTTTACAGTTCACAGAGCACATTTAGACAGTGACCTACTTCTATGCACACAGCATATGCTATTTATTGTGTTTGATTATGTTCTATTGATAGCAAGCCTCTCCGGGAGCCATATTGTTCTTTCCTTAATGAGCTTAATGCTTCAAAAGTGCTGTCAGAGCAGAGAAATAACATCAAATATACTGAGAGTAAGGCTATATAAAGAATACTGTGTTTTACTGTACAGCATTTATAATTCCTGTTTGCAAAAAGATCCACAATGGTTGCATGAAATAGTTGCTCTATAAAAAATGAGTGATAATTAACCTTAATAATAATACAAAAGAAATGTCTCTTGATGTTTATGTAACTTACCTGTGAATTCAGAGATAAATACATAAACAAAATATACCTAATTGATTCTTATACTGTGTGTCTCCATTGCCCCAGGTCCTCCTACCAGCACTACTCACTGTTGTTTACTTGCCAGCTGTGGCAGCTGTCAATCACACGCACTGTGACATACTAATTGCCATGGTGACATGTGGGTGACCGCGAGAGCCTTTTTATCGGAGTGCGTCACGCTGTCAGGCCAGCATGGTCTGCCTGCGACACAGCACTAATAAAAGGGCCACAGGACTCAAAAATAGATATAACACACACTCCCTCCCTCTCTCCTCCCTCTCTCTCTCTGACTTGTGTGCCAGCATCATCTTACATCAGTGGTGTTTGTAGCGTGGTTGTGATCAATTTGTAATTTAATAACGACCTAATGTCAATTAAACTCATATTGAAGCAATAAAAAGAAGACATCTCAGCATGACCCAAGGAGAGTTCATTTGAATACCATATGGCCCAAAGTATGAGTATAGTTGTTGGCTGTATGGCTGGAGCTATTTATCATGTTTTGAGCTGAATGGAATTTGTAATACTACAGCAATCTTTTATCCTGTTAAGGGGCTTAACATAAAAGATCAATTGATACCAATCATAAACCCTTGAAATAAATCAATATCTACTTGCATTGTCACAGATGTTTATGAGTTCTGAGAAATGGAACCAAATAGGTGATTGTTCCTCTACCAGGTTGCTCGATTTGAAAATGTTAATAGGGTCTAGTATCGAAAATCATATAAATGTCCCTTTTTCCTAACCTGTAAATTAGCCCATGACCCCTTTGATTTCTCTTTCTCCCAGGGGCAGCAGTTAGAGGAAGGCTTTCCTGTTTCAACATGACAATTCCCACATCCACAAAGCCAGGTCCATATAAATGGTTTTCCAAGTTTTATGTGGAAGAACTCGACTGGCCTGCAGAACTCTGACCTCAAACTCAATCAACAACTCTTGGATGATCTGTCCCTAGTCCCTACCACTGCAACATAGGCATTAGGTGAAATATTACACTAAGATTGAAGATAGTGGCATTACCAATTTCACACATTTTTATAATTTGTAGATTGTTTTGTCCTATGGCCCTTTTACGTGCCCATGGTGGGTCTCATATTGTGCGTCTTTTTAGTCTCCTAAAAAAGAGTATGAAACTAGTGGATAACCCCCAATTTGACTATAAAAGGGGATCTTCTTAAAAAAAAGTATTTCGGTTCTCTCTAATAGAGACACATGTATTCAGGTTTTTAAAGTGTAATTTTTGCTGGAAAATGAAGAACTCAACTTTTTGATAGAGGGTTGTAATTTAAAACTCAAGGTCAGACAGAAAAAACACATTTGCTCTTATTTTGCTATTTTTTTAATAACAAAATTAGGGGTGTTCAGCAAATATTAACCACTTTTTTTTAATCCTGAGTGGATATGGTGGAATGAGCTCCCCATTGACATCAGGACGGCAGATAGCTTGCACATCTTCCGGCGCAAACTGAAAACTCATCTCTTTCGACTCCACTTCGAGCGTTAGAACTATTAACGAAGCACTTTTATACTAATAAAGGACTGGCTTATCTAAAGCCAGTTGAGTAGCACTTGAAATGTTTGGCTCTATGAAACCTGATGTACTTATATGATTCTGTTTTCTTCAAGGTTGTGTCTTCCTGGTCGAATGTACTTATTGTAAGTCGCTTTGGATAAAAGCGTCAGCTAAATGCAATGTAATGTAATATATTTGAATAGATAATAAAATAAAAAATGTAAAAAAGTATGAATGTCTATGATTTGGGCATCATACATTAAAAACTCTGGTGCTAAGAGGTCAATGTGCATGAGGACATCAAATTTTAGCTTTTAACTGCATTATCTTCTTTACATCATTTAATGAATCCTTGCAATTCCTGCACACAAATGTACACACTCCACATACTCTTCCTCCGACATCAAACACTGCAGTTCTCCTCCATCACCTTTCTGTAACATGAAGCGGGGGAATAAAAAAACAACTCTGCAAGTAGCACTAATTGATGCAGAGGCTGGTTGTCTTCCACCTGACCAGGAAACCAGGAACCAGCTCGATTCTGCCGGCTAATTAGAGCTCTCCCTCTCTTTGAAATAAACCCACGCTATTCCGGTCCAGCCCAGTGCCTAATCAACTGCTAATAGGCCTCTGTAGATACTCGTAATGATCCTACAGAGTGCTACGTAAACCCAGAGGATAGTTCATCGTCCAATAATTACAGATAGGTTGCACAGAAAGAAGGTAAGAAGGAGAAGACT